GCGATCTATGAAACTTTAACGTTCAACAAGCCCGACACAAAAGTGCAAGATTTATTCACTCTCTCTCTCTCTTTCTCACTCTACGTTAATTTTCTAAAAAAGGTACGCCATGATACACAAATACACTTATTACGATCGATCACCATTATATAATCTCACGAAGATGAGAGACTACGAAAAGTTGATCGATCGAACACAAGAGATATGTATTTATATACGAATGTGCCCATAGAGGCAGACAAACACGCACTGCAGCGCAACATATGTACGTGCATATTCGATCAATAATTATTGTTAAAAAAAAAAAGAAAAAAAAATAAAAAAAAGAAAGAAAAAAAAGAAAAAAAAATAAAAGAATAAAGGAACAGAAAGCGAGCAATTCGCGAGTAAATGATTTGGTGCGATTAAAAAAAATTTCATAAGAAATTGTATAATCCAAGTTTCACAAGGTTACAAATACGTACATCGTTCGATTACGTTAGTATCGTAAAATATTCTTCTCTCTCTCTCTCTCTCTCTCTCTCTCTCTCTCTCTCTCTCTCTCTCTCTCTCTCTCTCTCTCTCTCTTGAAGAAGAAAAAAAAATGAAAAAGAACATTCCGACGTTTTATATTCAATAATCCGAAGGATCGCAGCTGTTGGACGAACTCATCGAGGTCGGCTTGTAACCTTTCAAATGATCATTTTGAGTAAGGTAAAGAGGTTTCTAGGAACTGCGACAGCTACGTAGAATAGAGTCATTGGAGAGTAATTATGTCCGCACGGTCGGTCTATCCGTTCATCCATTCGTTTGTTCGTTCGTACGTTTGGTCGACAGGTAAAGGTCGTAGCTTTGGGTCCGAAGGTTACCTCCTCCTACTCATGGATACAAACGCATATAACTACGTCCACTACTTTATCCTTCAAGTATTATATTTCTATCGTTTCTTTTTTTTTTTCCTCCTTCATAAATTGTACGTATCGCTCTCTCTCTCTCTCTCTCTCTCTCTCTCTCTCTCTCGTTCTCTCTCTCTCTCTCTCTTTATCTCTCTTTATCAAATTTAATTTTTCAAAGCACCTGTCCTCGATCATCATCGAGACATCGTGCAAAGAATTCGTTCATAACGCAAAAAACTTTGTCAAATCTCCTTGATTTATATAAATCCTAATATTTTGTTCAATTGGTAAAAATTTCGTTGAAAATTCGCGCGTCGTTGTACCCGTTTTAGCGTTTCAGACCGCTCTCATTGAGTTCGATCCAAGAATGGATCAGCTGGGTAATCGCGGACGCGATGCGCGCAACGTACACAAATACATATGTAAGTACGTATGCACGTCGGTACGTCAGTTGGTTCGGTGTAGGAGAAGGAGAGTAAAAAGGGCCAGAGGAAGGGAGAAAGAGGGGGTAGGTATCGCGCGGGAATGTTAAAAAAGAAATGGAAGAAAAAAAAGAAAAGTCAAAATCGTACGTCCTACTTCAATTTTTGACGTACCTTCTTTTCCCCTTTCTTTTTTTTGTTTTGTTTTGTTTTCTTTCTTTCTTTCTTTCTTTCATCGCAACGCTACACGCCAGATTGCGGAGAGACGCGATAAACGAACGGAGGAATTACGATCGCTTACTCATCTCGCGATTTCTTTCCTATTGTCTGTTTTCCTCTCTCTCTCTCTCTTTCTCTCTCATACACATAAACACTCACACCCGCGAACCTACGCATATATGCATATAACCACATATATATATATGTATATATATATATATATATACACACACACACACTCTTTCTCTCCTTCATTTTTCTCGACTTGTATGTGCAAAGACGCTAGGCATGTTAGAGGATTATTTTCTCAAGGACGCATTGAAACTCGATAGAATAAAATAGAAGAGAAAAAAAAAGAAAAGAAAAAAAGAGGGCATGGAGACTAATCGTCAAACAAATCGTAGTCGGTTTAATCGTGAAAAGGGCGTGCACGCAGATTGATACTTGCGACGTAGACGATACACCATAGATTTTATTCGTATCCGGCTAGCTAGTCAGAGAACAGGTCGAAGAATAATCGGGCACACATCGATGGAGAAACGAAAGGGCAATTCGTTCTAGAAACACTCACCTTTATCGCCAACAGCGATGACCGATCTGACCACGCGTCATTTGGACAGTTCATAGCAGCTACCACACTTCGTCGACCATCCGTGGGTTAGAGTTCATAACCTCTTCTACCCTTTGCTTTACCTTTTCTTTGCCCCTCCCCTCTTTACCTCCTCCTTCTCCTCTTCTTCCTCCTCCTTCACCACCTCCTCCTCCTCCACCTCCTCCTCCTCCTTCTCTTCCTCGTCTTGCATCTAACCCCACTACTCACCTTTTTACCCACTCGACATTGCATTCACTGGCATCGATACGCAACCGCAATAGAGATTGTCGACGTCTTTTCTGAACTGGGCTTGGTTCCGATATTCACACGATTCGTATCGTCGCATTCGAGCGACAACAAGCGGCAAATGCCTTAACAACTTTTTCTTTGTTAATACAGAGTGCCGCCATTATTGAGCGGCCATGATGAAATGAATTATGAAAGCGCCATTCTTAAATTTTACATTCTTAAAGATTACCACAGTGTTATTATTCTTGCTTTTCTTCTTCGATTCATTTATTATTCATTCATTCGATTTAAAATCACGATCTACTTAACTCTTCGCAGTTTTAACACAGATTCTTAATCTCGTTAATGTAAAATTCTGAATTGACATTATATATGTATATATATATAGGATTAAATTACATTTAAGCTCTTTTTAAATGAATTTAGTTTTAGGATAGATCTATTAAAATTTCGCCGGGTGCAGATGATAAATTTTTTTTTATAGCGCAACATTGGCCGACAGTGTCTTGGTTGGAAATTATTTTTGATCTCACAATCAAATGATATATGTACGTATTTTTTTTTAAACAGTCTTTCGCTTCTACCAGATATATGTATGTATATCGGTTATCCTCGGTCGCAAAAAGTTAAAAAATTATGCCCGTAGAATAACTTAGTAAAGTAAATTTTTAGATCTACAAAATTTTATTGCATATATATTTATTACACTCGCAGAGAGTACACTCTAGTTTGGTATACATATAATAGAAATGATATAAATGAAATTTCAACGATAAAAATAATAATAATAGTAATAGTGATAATTAAACAACTATTATTTGTTATATATTTAATTGTATTTAATTGTCACTGAATATTACTTTGTACGTGAAACTTCGAATGGTGCATTTCATTTTTTTTCTTTCTTTTTTTTTTTTGTTGTATAAAAAAATTTCAAACATCTTTGAAACTTTAAAATGAATTTTCGTACAGTATCAATTTAAGAATTAGATAAATTTCCAAGGAAAAAGAAAATATGGGTACTCTGAGGTTTATACTTATATATGTATAACGTAATTTTCGTTAACGATCATAGTACTAAATTGGTTCCATTATATAAGATGACGATATTGCCAACGATATGACAAACGGTTTTGTCCTTATATTCCGTCAATCGCTTTGTTGCAGAATTGCTAGAGATCATTTAATAAATATAATCGAAGCTATTTTTATAATTTTTTTTTCTTTTTTTTTTTTTTGTCTTTTTTTTTTAATAACAGGTACTCTTATCCTTTTAGTTCATTTATAGTAATCATAAGAACGATAAAATACAGTTTGGAAGATTATCCAAGACCGTTTGTTTCCGATCGGCACGATTAACTGTATATATGTTGTTTTAAAGAATTATTTGACATAAAGAAATTCATATTTAAATGCCCAGTCTTAATTTAGATTCTAAGGCCACTATTCGAACATCGCTCTGCGCGTTAAAAGCACCATTTCGATCGACGGATGTAAATACAGAAAGTGCTTTCAAAGCCGAACTCGAAATAAGGATAGAGAGGCTCTTTGACTAATATTCGATATACATCACATTGTATATATATTATGTACATGAACACTTTCACGAATATTGCAGCATTTCCGAATAAGTATATTACGGTAACGATATGGTGAATATACCACAGAAATTAATTCGCAGCATATATTTATGCTCGTTTGAGGGAACGTGCATTCAGCAAGGCTACGAATAGAGGCGAACATAAAGTCACCTAACTTCGATAAGAACCGACTTTGTTTGATATTTTCATCACATTTAAACACGATAACGATTACTCATTACGAGAGTCCACTGTATAGAAGATACATATGTGTGTATATATATATATATATATATATGTATATCGCGATTAACATATGGAAAAAATAATATTTCATTTCGCTTGCATATATGCGCATGATATATAAAGTGTCACAAATATCACACTATACTATGCAATATACAAATAATGCATATAAGTTACTAAATTTGCATTAAAATTAATGCAAGATATATGTCTGTGGATTCTGATTAGACGATACAGAATCTAAGCAACTATCTTTTTGCATAAAATTCGAATACATATATGTTCCTTAATGTATATAAAGTATTGTTTTTAATTATATTATCACGGTTAAGCGTGTTGCCATAGAGGGTAAATAGCATCAGCCAAAGACAATTGGTAATAAATTAAATTCATCCTAAATCTTAACTTATTTCGAATACTATGGATTTATTTGCAAAAGATTCCAAGCACCATGACGATTTCAGATGCAAATTTCAAATATGATTGTTCCGTTAAATATTTTGACAGGTACTGCAAGTCGATCACAAGGGCTCTGCGCATTCGGTTTAAAGGCAAACACGTAACAGCAGATCTATGATTAAAATCTAATATTTTGTGAAAATATTCGTTATATACGTATAGATTAAGTCCCATAAAACTTATTTTTATCTAAAACAATATGGAAATCGGTTAACGCGAGTTTGTTTCCATCCATTTAAAAACTTACACATTATCGTATTAACTCGCAATTAAATGTTTGCGTTAACTAACTAATGACCAAATACTTCTTGACTGGCAAATACGATGTAAAGGAACCCATCCTCGTCCTTTTCTTTTTGGTAAAGTTGTAACATAGTCATGCTAGCACTTACCAAACTTCTTCTATTCGCTAATAGAAAGAATGCTTGCGTTGGATTTAATTGTAGTCTACGTCTACGGTAAAAAAAAAAATATAAGTTCTTTATAATAACACATATTCTGTTAATGTTATTAAACATCATTATCAAAATTACAAAAGTACCTGATGATTCTTATGAATTCGGCAACCGTTAAGAAATCTGGTACCAAATATTTAGTCTTATCCAATATTGGTAATTGTCTTTCTCCTGGATATCTTTCGACTATTACAGGAATTTTATTTGGATGTCTCTCTCTTATAGCCTCTACGTCTGCTACTCTTTGAGCTAAAAAAAAAAAAATAAGAAACAAAAAAAAATCCATTATAAATTGTTCAAATTGTATACAATAATATAGTTATAGATTTATAAAAAAAATAAATGCAGAAAATAATATACAATTAACTTTGCAATACATTTATATAATTCTCTAGAGCATACATGGATTCTTTATAAATAAACATTAATCTATTGAGATTAAAAATTTCAAATGTGAAGCAGAATATCGAATAAATTCTAAAATATTCATTAAAAAGAAACATTTTCCAAACGAATTTAAATGGATTTAAACGAGACTATTCGATATTGTATAACCTTATGAACGACAATAATATAGAAAGAAGCATCTTAAAAAAATGTACTACGTTTGTTCGATGGCCCTTCTTTCTTTCAAAATAAAATGAAACATGATAATTTAAAATTTGGATTTATATTCACCGAAGGGACGCTTCTCTTTGAAACTTTTCACCTTCAAATACATTTTCATCGATTCAATTATAATCCACTATGACGTATTTAACGAAAAATATGTATCTAGCTGTGGAATAGAAAAAGAGAGAGAAAGAGGAAAAGATAGAAAGAGAGACGTCAATTCGTCGTATGAAAGATAATAAAACGATATATTACGTATGCATATATATACACAATAGAGTAAACGTCTAATAGGTTGGGTCGGTCGAACGTTTTTATTTCTTTTCAATTTTCTTTTTTCCTCTCTCTTTTTTTTTGTTTCGTTTCTATTTTTTTGGAAAATAAAAAAAAACCAAAACTAGAAAATATCGACGAATAAATACTTACCGAAGGATCGCTTCTCTTTGAAAGTTCTCGGTGTGAAATTCATATTTATATGAAGAATTTATAAACTATTATACGACGCGTAAATTCGACGATATATCGGTTACGTGCTAGAGAGAACAAGAGAGAGAGAGAGAGAGAGAGAGAGAGAACGAGAGAAAGAGAGAAAGAGAAAGAACGAGAGAGAGAGAGAAAGAGAGGGAGAGAAAGAGATAAAGAGAGAAGTAAACTCTCGGATCAAAATAATGACAACACGTATACAGAGAACAGCGTCACCGTCTAATAGGTTGGGTCGGTCGAATGAAAATGAGAAAACATATGATCGGTTCGGCGCGTACTGTCATTGGACGAGGAGCAAACAAAGCGTCTGCGCATGACCAAAGACGCATGTGGACGCAGTGGAGAGCGGGGAGTATATATGAGTAGAGGGGATAGAGTAAAGGATAGAAAGGAACAGAGCAGAGCGAAAGCGTATTATAGATGGGAAGAATTTTAGTTCTGCCGTTGGACGAACCAATGACGTTTGAGGGCGCTGCTAGAAAAAGAGAGAGAGAGAAAGAGAGACTTTCGTGACAATAGGTAGTAGTATCTAATAAGAATATATACATTATGGTACGTTTATACGGTGTGCTTTCTTCGTGGCGATCGTAGCGATCGGAGTACGGTGGTGACATCCGTGCGCGCATTAAGAGACACGTTCTACTCGTTTATATGTATGGGCGCGAGTGCATGCGTGGGTGTGCAGCGCAACAGCAGTGAACGTGCCGACATAAAGTAACAAAATTATCATTCGAGAACGCGAATGTTAATAGAGGAGGCGTTCGGGTAGGAGCAGTCTAGTCGGTGAAAAGAGAGAGAGAAAGAGAGAGAAAGTGTGTGTGTGTGTGTGTGCGAGAGAGAGAGAGAGCGAGAAAGAAAGAAAGAAAGAAAGAAAGAAAAAAGAGAAGAAAAAAAAAAGGAAAAAGTGAGAAAAAAAAGAAAAACTGCTGAAGGAAGAGCGTCTAACTGTGGTGGTAATTCTTTTTTTTTTTACGCGCGCGCGGTTTAAACGCGTTATGTCGAACGTGTTCTTACGTGTCCCGTTTCTGTCTGTCTGCTGTTCGATGCGTGCACGATAATAGATAGAAAGAAGTGCAAGGGGAAACGGCGGAACGGAAGGAAGGAGAAAGAGAGAGAGAAAGAGAGAGAGAGAGAGGGGGAAAGAGAAAGAGAAAGAGAAAGGAAAGGTAAAGGAGGGAAGTCATGAGAACACCTGTGCTCCGATAAGAAAAAGGATAATCGACGGGAAAAGGCTTTGAACGAGATCCCTCATTGTGTGTCCCGTTGTAATAGTTGCGTCGTCGTTCACGACGAACGTCGTCGAGGTTC